CCCCGCCCCCCGGCTAGACTTCCGGAGTTGGGACTTCTGGCTGGGAAGAGGGGTCGGGGTGTCTCCCCCCACATCGCATCAGATATATTAGATGTGTTTAAATAGTCATGATGAAATATTTTTGTTGTAAAAAAGTTGAAAGGCTTTTTATAATTTTGTTTTTGAAGTATTCTATTTGGCAGGGTTTTATGTATTTTGTTTTGCCTGTAATTTTGGTTTGTTTTTAATGAGCAGAAGTTTGAGGGGTTTTGTGTTTTTTCCAGGTTTCTAAATTGCCTTAGACTTTTGGAAAGTTCAAGGGTAGTAGACTCAGGGCCCATAGTGTCCCCTGGATAAAATGGCCCTACCTTCCGCTTTGCACATTCCTTGGGTGGTCCTGTAACATCACCTCCCCCTGAATGCCATTGAGGCTCAAATGGAGCCCCAGACTTCCCAGCTCCCCCTTCCCCTGGACAACCCATGGGTGCCTCCAATTCACCAGTTCCCCAAATAGGCACATCCTGCACCCCCTCCCTACCTGCTGCTACTCCAGGATATCCTGTCTTAGCAAAAGTCACCACAACCGTTGGCTCCCCCAAGTTAGAAGCCTGGGAGTCATCCTCCATCACTCTCTCCCTCACTCCTCATCTCAGTCCTCAGAGTCCTGGTTATTAACATTTCTTTCACCTGCCCCTTCCCCTGTTCCTTCCTCAGTGAAACACACCATCGTGCACATGGAGACATCTCACCTCTCCTCACTTCATTCTGCCCTCTAAATAGTGCTTGCATCTGCCTCTCTCCATGCTCATCCCCAGGCCTCAACGGAGCCTCCTCACTCCTGCCTGGCCTGCTCTGCTGGGCTCCTAACTACTCTTTTCTTCCAAGCCCCCCTCACCTCCAACCTTGACACTGCTGGCTAGAGAGCTATGCTAAAACGCTAATTTGATTCCCCCCCCCCCCCCCCCCCCCCCCCCCCCCCCTCACTGGCCCCCCAGCTTCTGAGCTGAAGTTTGAACTGATCTGTGGATCTGGCTCTGTTGCCCCCAGCTTCATCCTCACTCCCCTCCTCACCCATGCACTCTTCCTTTGAGAAATACTTCAGTGCCTGCTCTGCACCAGCCACATGCTCCCTTCTCTTCCATCGTCTAAATAAATGGATTTCCTAACACATCCAGGCATTCCCAACCTCTTTACCTTCATAAAAATTGTTCCTTCTTCCTGAACTTCTACCCCAACTTCTAGACTAAATTAACTCTAGTCCACTGCAGCCCAGATTCATAGAGAAAAATGTAATGTCATTTTTAACTTTAAAATTGTATATATTTAAGGCGTATTACATTATGTTTTGATATACATAGTGAAATTATTACAACAGTCAATCTAAGTAGCATAGTCATCTCCTCACAGTTACCCAGCGTGTGTGTGTGTGTGTGTGTATGTATGTGTCTGTGTGTATGTGTGTGTGTGTATGTATGTATGTATGTATGTGTGCATGCACATACACACACAAAATCTAATGTCTTCACTTTTCTTACAATTTAACCTGGTTTTTACAGTGGAGTCCCTAAACACTAAATTCAGGATAACAAATTAATGTCAATTTTGTTTAAGTTTGGTCCATTCCAACAATTTAAATAATCCCTCGGCAGCCTCCAGGCTTTCTAGGGAAAACATTGCTCTCCTAACTGCCCCTTGAAAACATGATGAATATGGTCCATTGCGGTGGAGTGAGAAGATACTAGAACTTGTATTTATGTTTACTTTTATGTGGAAAAAAAAGAAATTATGCTTTGTTAATATGCTGATAATCATAGGGATGTAGGCTCAGGCGTTTGAGATAAAATCACTTTGGAGACCACTTGTTCCTTCTGGCCTCTGCTCATTTCCTCCCACTCTCTACCTCGCTCCCTCCTCTTGAATTACTCTGGCCTTTTACATGTTTCTCAAAGTCACCAGGGTCACTCTTGGATTCCTCCCATGTCCTCACCCAGCACAATCCCTCACTTTATGCAAAACTCTGCTTTAATGTATCTCTCATCCCCACCCCACCCCCAACTCTCTACCCATAGAACCTGCTTTATTGCTCTGCATATTGCTTGGATTTGCCTGAAATGGTTTATTTGTATATATCACCACAACTAGAATGGGAGCTCAGGACGTATGGGAACATTCCCTGTCTCCAGGGCACCAGTAACTACCAGCTGAGTAGATGTCTATGGATTCTGTACCTCTATTACCATGTGGTCTCACTCTCTGTCTAACCTTGTTTGGCTGAAGGGTGTGTCTGCATCCCCGAACAAGGATGTTGTCCAAGAGAATGGTCTGCAATGATGAAAATGTGCTGCCCAAAATGGTAGCCATCAGCCACATATGCTATTGAGCATTTGGAATGTGCCTAGTGTGACTTAGGAATTAATTTTTAATTATACTTAAGTATTCAAATTCAAGTAGCCACATGTGGCTGATGGCCACGGAACTGGACAGTGACATTCTAGACTATGAGGTCCTTGAGGGCCTTATTCCCTCATGTCCAGCACCATACCTGACATGTGACAGTCACTGAGAAAATACTAAGTGGGTGTCTGGCCTACTGCGGGTCTTAGAGAGGGCAAGGATTAGTGTTTTAACGTGAACTTATGATGCTATTTCCTCTCTAGTTCACACAATCACCAGAAAGCCCATGTCTTGGCATGATAACCTGGAGGAACCTGCAGATGGTAGGTCCTGGGGTTTGAGAACACCACTGACATAGAACAAAGACAGGCAGATGGCTGCACAGTCCTCTCAGGGGAGTCTCATCTTGGAGCAAATAACAGTCCTCTGCTTTGATCATCTGAAAACTGGGCTCATACTATCCAAGCTCATAAGGTGGACATATTCCACCACAGTTCCAGTTTATTAACTTTCAAGCCAACAAACATGTTTCTAATGACCGCAACATTGCATTCATTCATTCATCAAACATTAGCTGTTATAAACACAAATTTTGGAATCATACTTAATTCAAATCCTGGTTCTGCCGCTCATGAACTGTGTGACTTTGGACAAGATTTTTTTTTTATTATTTTAGGAAGAGAGAGAGGAAGGGAGGAAGG